AGGTCTGAAACTTTTTGTATTTATGGTTTGAATAGATGGGGCATTTGGGAAAAATACGGGAGTTATAAAATAATTACCCCATGGTACCTATATTGAATAGGTACCGGGGGTATCTCCGGAACGGTTGGGGATAGCGAAAAACTTTTGCTGGGAGGATTTTAAGTTGGAATAAGCTGATATAGACTGGAAAAAATCCGAACCCGAAATCCCAAGTCTAAGGGTAGATATGCCTGCGCAAAAATCCCAAAATCCCCGTTTCGCGAATTTCGAAACTTGCGAAACTGATCGACAAATCACGTGTGATATGTCAAATGAAAGCTCTCGACGAGCTGAGTCTGGATAAATTTAGTTTATTTTTTTCGGACCACTTTGGACCAAGTTACAGTAGCCCAAAGTTTCCATAATGCCCCCATGTAAAATTGGGAAGGGTGGCTCCAATTGTCAAAAGTGAATTAAAACGCGTTTTCGATATCCTATCTTAAAGAGCGTCCCCTGGCGGTCCGAAAAAGGTATAATATGTCGGGGGTCCGGTTGAGTCTGAAAAAGTTATGGCCAATGTTCGCAAATGTCGCGAAACTTTTTTTGACTCTAACGTCCCGGGGGAATTTTTTAAAATTTTTCTGACACCGGATTTGGACTCAGCGCATGTCAGAGTACCATATGGGACGTTTTATGGGTCAAAATCCGAAAATTTTGGTCCCTCGAATTTTTCTAAAGGGGTACCCCTTTTGGGGGATTTTAGGGATTTTTAAATTTGAAATATCTTTTTTTGGGATTGTCGGATTCGGATGGGGTTTCCTTTATTAAATCAGGTAAAAAATTAGGTATTTTTAGAGCCGAAAAAATTTCGAAAAAATTCGAAATTCGAGGCATAGGGGTCGAATTTCGAAAAACCCAAAATTTTTCGGGTTTTCGAAATTTTTTCGAGATTTTTGCCTGCTGTTCGGATCGAATGTATTTTTCCTAAATTAATCAGATTTTTCTACATATTTTGGGATTTTAGAATTTTCAAAAAAGGTATACTTCGGCCGAGATATGATTTTTTGAAAATTTCAGGGATTTTTTCTGGCTGAAATTTCAGGCCCAAAAAATATTTTTTTCAAAATGGATATAAATATGGCAAATGAGATATCAATCGAAAGCTCTCATCGAGCTGGATATAAAAATATTTTTTTCGAATTTTTTCGGTACATTTTGAAGAAAGTACAGAGGTTCAAAAATTTGTGGGGGGTGAGTACGGTACTCGGAAAATTATGGTAGGGAGAGAGGAAAAATGATTGACGGGTGAAGTTGATGGCAGAGAGGCGAAATTTTTCTCCGTCTCTGACCATTCGGGGCAACACGTAGAAGAGTTTGAAGTTGAATTTTGTATATGGGGGAAAATTTTGTGGAGGGATAAGCTGGATCCTGTTATGGATCTGAAGCAGCGATGCTTCGTGAAGCAGTTTCTGCTTCGAAATTTTGTTTTGGATTGGACTCATTCTTCTAATTGAAAGGATGAGTCCAATCATCCTTCTAATTGAAAGGATGAGTCCAATCATCCTTCTAATTGAAAGGATGAGTCCAATCATCCTTCTAATTGAAAGGATGAGTCCAATCATCCTTCTAATTGAAAGGATGAGTCCAATCATCCTTCTAATTGAAAGGATGAGTCCAATCATCCTTCTAATTGAAAGGATGAGTCCAATCGAGGGGCCGAAGGCCCGGAGTGACTCTAAGTGGAAGGATGAGTCCAATCGAGGGGAAGACGAGGGCCGAAGGCCCGAAGTGACTCTAAGTGGAAGGATGAGTCCAATCGAGAGGAAGACGAGGGCCGAAGGCCCGAAGTGACTCTAAGTGGAAGGAAGAGTCCAATGGAAGCGAATACGAGGGCCGAAGGCCCGAAGTGACTCTAAGTGGAAGGAAGAGTCCAATGTAGGGGAAGACGAGGGCCGAAGGCCCGAAGTGCCTCTAATTGGAAGGATGAGTCCAATATATGGTAAAACGAGAGCCGAAGGCCCGAAGTGACTCTAAGTGGAAGGAAGAGTCCAATCGGGGGGAAGACGAGTATAGGCAAGTGGGTAGTCATTCAAGAGCTGGGACTGAGGGGAGTCTAATGGGATAAGGGATTAAGCCTAAAGTCGAAGTTCGGAGTTCGAACTTCGAAATCCGGTATTTTCGGGATTGGGAAGTGGGGTCGAATGAGTACTCATTCAAGAGGGGATAATGAGGGGAGCTTAGTGGGATAAAGGTTCAAGCCGAAAGTCGAAGTTCGGAGTTCGAACTTCGAAATCAGGGATTTTCGGGATTGTGAAGTACGGTCGAATGAGTAATCATTCAAGAGCAAATAATGAGGGGAGCTTAGTGGGATATAGGATAATGTCGAAAGTCGAAGTTCGGAGTTCGAACTTCGAAATCCGGGATTTTCGGGGTTTGGGGATATTCGCAAGTAGGTAGTCATTCAAGAGGGGATTATCAGGGGAGTCTAATGGGATAAAAGATAAAGTCTAAATTCGAAGTTTCGCGTTCGAACTTCGAAATCCGGGATTTACGAGGTTGGGGGATATGGGTGAGTGGGTAGTTATTCAAGAGCTGGGACTGAGGGGAGTCTAATGGGATAAGGGATTAAGCCTAAAGTCGAAGTTCGGAGTTCGAACTTCGAAATCCGGTATTTTCGGGATTGGGAAGCATGGTCGAATGAGTACTCATTCAAGAGGGGATAATGAGGGGAGCTTAGTGGGATAAAGGTTCAAGCCGAAAGTCGAAGTTCGGAGTTCGAACTTCGAAATCAGGGATTTTCGGGATTGTGAAGTACGGTCGAATGAGTAATCATTCAAGAGCAAATAATGAGGGGAGCTTAGTGGCTCCGAAAAAGGTATAATATGTCGGGGGTCTGTTTGAGTCTGAAAAAGTTATGGCCAATGTTCGCAAATGTCGCGAAACTTTTTTGGACTATAACTTTTTTGAAAAATTTTTTAGAATTTTTCTGACACCGGATATGATTCAGCGCATATCATTGCACCATATAGGATATTTTTGGGTCAAAATTTGAATATTTTTGGGTCAAAATTTGAAAATTTTTGACCCTTCGAATTTTTCAAAAGGGGTACCCCTTTTGGGGGATTTGAGGGATTTTTTAGGGGATCATAACTTTTTGTGGGATTATCGGAATGTTATGAGGTTTGATTTATAAAATAGAGTCAAAAATTAGGTATTTTTTGAGCCCAAAAAATTTCGAAAAAAGTCGAAACTGGGGGTGTAAGGGTCGAATTTCGAAAAACCCCAAATTTTTCGGTTTTTCGAAATTTTTCTTTTTCACAAATGTCGCGAAACTTTTTTTGACTCTAACTTCCCGGGGAAATTTTTTCCAATTTTTCTGACACCGGATTCGTACTCAGCGCATGTCAGAGTACCATATAAGCCGTTTTATACTTCAAAATTCGAAAATTTTGTCCATTCGAATTTTTTCAAAGGGGTACCCCTTTTGGGGGATTTTTGGGATTATTTAAATCGCGATATCTTTTTAAGGGATTATCGGATTGGGTTTGGGTTTCCTTTATTAAATCAAGTAAAAAATTAGATATTTTTTAAGCCGAAAAAATTTCGGAAAAATTCGAAATTGGAGGTGTAGGGGTCGAATTTCGAAAAACCCAAAATTTTTCGGTTTTTCGAAATTTTTTCGGGTTTTTTGTATGCTGTTCGGATCGAATGTATTTTTCCTGGATTAAGCAGATTTTTCTACATATTATGGGATTTTTAAATTTTCAAAAAAGTTATACTTTGGGCGAGATATGATTTTTTGAAAATTTCAGGGATTTTTTCTGGCCTAAATTTCAGGCCCAAAAACTATTTTTTTCAAAATGGATATAAATATGGCAAATGAGATATCAATCGAAAGCTCTCAGCGAGCTGGATATAAAAATATTTTTTTCGAATTTTTTCGGTACATTTTGAAGAAAGTACAGAGGTTCTAAAATTAGTGGGGTGGAGTACCGTATCCGGAGAATTATGGTAGGGAGAGAGGAAAAATGATTGACAGGTGAAGTTGATGGCAGAGAGGCGAAATTTTTCTCCGTCTCTGACCATGCGGGGCAATCCGTAGAAGATTTTAAAGGTGAATTTTGTATATGGGGGAAAATTTTGAAAATCGAAAGGAAGACGAGGGCCGAAGGCCCGAAGTGACTCTAAGAGGAAGAAAAGTCCAATCGAGGGGAAGACAAGTTGGACAAGACAAGTTGGCCCGAGCTTTCATTACATCTAAAAGGCAGACCAATTGTCAAAGCATAGATCCTCCGAGGCCGAAGGCCGAGGAACCGGCGGGCCGAAGGCCCGCCGGTTGGCGAGGGCCTAAGGCCCGAGCTTTCATTACATCTAAAAGGCAGAGCAATTGTCAAAGGTAGAGCATAGATCCTCCGAGGCCGAAGGCCGAGGAACCGGCGGGCCAAAGGCCCGCCGGTTGGCGAGGGCCGAAGGCCCGAGCTTTCATTACATCTAAAAGGCAGAGCAATTGTCAAAGGTAGAGCATAGATCCTCCGAGGCCGAAGGCCGAGGAACCGGCGGGCCGAAGGCCCGCCGGTTGGCGAGGGCCGAAGGCCCGAGCTTTCATTACATCTAAAAGGCAGACCAATTGGGAAGGAAGTGTTGGCGAGGGCCGAAGGCCCGAAGTGACTCAAAGTGGAAGGGTGAGTCCAATCGGAGGGAAGACGAGGGCCGAAGGCCCGAAGTGACTCTAAGTGGAAGGATGAGTCCCAACGGGGAAAGACGAGGCGAGGGCCGAAGGCCCGAAGTTAATCTAATTGAAAGGAAGTCCAATCGAGGGGAAGACGAGGGCCGAAGGCCCGAAGTGACTCTAATTGACAGGATGAGTCCAATCGAAGGGAAGACGAGGCCCGAAGGCCCGAAGTGACTCTAAGTGGAAGGGTGAGTCCAATCGGAGGGAAGACGAGTGCCGAAGGCTCGAAGTGACTCTAAGTGGAAGGAAAAGCCCAATCGAGGGGAAGACGAGGGCCGAAGGCCCAAAGTTACTCTAAGTGGAAGGATGAGTCCCAACGGGGAAAAACGAGGCGAGGGCCGAAGGCCCGAGCTTCAACCCATCCCGGAAGACAGAACAAAGATCGGCGAGGGCCGGAGGCCCGAAGCAATGAAAAGGCAGAGCTAAATAAATATATTCCAGGCATCCAAAAGTTCTAGCGGCGCGCGAAGCGCGCCCCAAAGCCGTTAGGCTTTCCAACGGGCACCCCAAACTAAACAGCCAGAGTTTCCTAATAGGAATTGCATACGTAACTTACCGCCATCGCATACGTAACTACATCTAGTTATAATAGTATAAAAAAAACCTCGACTTCAACTTTAAAAAAAGTCCCTGGCCCGGCCGAAGGCCGGGACGACCGGGAAAGTTATGGAAGGGTCCTACAACTTTTTGAGGGCTATTCAGGAAAACTCCGACTTTGGCGCCATGACTTTTCCTTTGCGCCGAAACGACCCCATGTGAGTTGCTATCTCGTGAACCAGAACCTGGAGCAAAAAACTTCTGCTGGTAGGAAATTAAGTTGGAGTAGGTAGATATATGCAGGAAAAAACCCGGACCCGAAATCCGAACTTGGAGGGTAGTTATGCCCCGACAAAAATTCACCGATTGACGGTGAATTGTCGGTTTTTGTCGGACTAAACTTTAAAAAAACTCAGGCTCCCGGCCGAAGGCCGGGAGCCCTCGGAAAGTTATGGATGGGTCCTACAACTTTTTGAGGGCTATTCAGGAAAACTCTAACCTCGGCGCCATGACTTTTCCTTTGCGCCGAAACGACCCCATGGGTTTTGATATCTCGTGAACTAAAAGTCGGAGCGGAAAATACCCGCTGAAAGGGCACTGCGCCTCTATTAGGGGATTTCAACAAAAAAAAAATTTTGGAAATCGGGTGAAGTCGCGGGGACTTATGCGTTGGCAAACCGAAGTGACGCTTTGGCAAAATGTCGTGCCATTAGGTAGCGGTCTTTTGTACCTTTTCTATATCTCGGGAACGGCTGGGTGGATTGAGATGGGACCTGGGGGCGTATTAGGTAAACGGCCAAGAGAAATTTTTTGGGGTGGGTCGTTTCGGCGCCGGACTTGAGTGCGGCGCCGAAATGGCCCGATGAAAAATTCAAACGGTTATAACGGGTTTTTGAGAAGTGTGGGGTTCTTGGGCCTGGGAGTGATGTTGGAGGGTAGAGTGTGGGGAAGTTATCAATAGTTGACCACTTGAGTCTCGGGTGAACTTTTGGGGGTGTTTTGGTTCAAAGTGTCGGAGTCGAAAAGTCGACTTTTTGTAACGTGAATTGAAACTTGATTTCGATACCCAGTTCGAAAGAGCGTCCCCTGGCGGTCAGAAAAAGGTATAATATGTTGGGGGTCCACTTGAGTCTCAAAAAGTTATAGCCAAATTGGCAAAATGTCGTAAAATTTTATGAGACTCTAACGTCCCGGGGAAATTTTTTAAAATTTTTCTGACGCCGGATTCGTAAACAGCGCATGTCAGAGTACCATATAGGCCGTTTTTCGGGTCAAAATTCGAAAATTTTGTCCCCGCCCTCAGAACCAAAGGGGTACCCCTTTTGGGGAAAATTCGGGATTTTTTGGGGGACCTTAACTTTTTTTGGGATTCTCGGATTCGGATGGGGTTTCTTTCTAAAAATAGTACTAAAAATTAGGTATTTTATCGCCGAAGAAAATTTCGAAAAAAGTCGAAATTGATCACGTAAGGGTCGAATTTCGAAAAACCCAAAAATTTTCGGTTTTTCGAAAAAATTTCGGGATTTTTGCCGCCGTTTCTGCCCGAGCGTATTTTTTCTGGATAGAGCAGATTTTTCTGCATAGAATGAGCTTTTAAAATTTTTAAAAAAGGTCTACTTTGGGGAAGTTATGATTTTTTAAAAATTTGCTCGATTTTTTCGGCCAAAATTTTCGACCAAAAAAATATTTTTTCAAAATGGGTTTAGATGGGGCAAATTATATATCATTCGAAAGCTCTCATCGCCCTGAGTCTAAAAATATTTTTTCCGAAATTTTCTGACCATTTTGTCCAAAGTTACAAAAGGTCGAAATTTCGGGGGTGGGGGGTTTGCGGGCCGGAGGCCCGCCGAGGCCGAAGGCCGAGGAGTTTGGCGGCGAGGGCCGAAGGCCCGAAGCAACGCTCGGGCCGAAGGCCAGAGCGTTCATCCATCCCTCAAGGCAAGGTAAAATATTTTCGAGGGCCGAAGGCCCGAGATTTCCATCCATCCCTCGAGGCATTATAAAAGTGATTCGAGGGCCGAAGGCCCGAGATTTCCACCCATCCACGATTCAGAAGGTCGTTTAAACGCGGCGGGCCGAAGGCCCGACGAGATTTCCAAAGCTTTTTATTAAATGAAGAAGCAAAAAACCTTCTAGCGGCGCGCGAAGCGCGCCCCAAAGCCGTTAGGCTTTCCAACGGGCAAAAGTATCGTAACCAAAGGCTTCGCCTATTAAATTCCAGTGCATACGTAACTTACCGCCATACCCCAATGGGCACAACTAGTTATATATTTAATAAAAATCTTGGTAGTGCCCCTCTTTTTGGGGAGAAAATCCTTTTCAAAAATTCCGCCGGCCGAAGGCCGGCGGCTGGAATTTTTTGAAGGGTACATTTGTCCTGCAACTTTTTACGCTCTATTCAGGAAAACTCTAACCTCGGCGCTGAAACGTCGTTTTCGCACTGAAACGGCCATGGGTGGTTTTTCAAATGGAAATAGCGCGGAGGGGTGAAGTTGGATTGAAAAATGCTTGCTGGGAGGATTTTAAGTTGAAATGGGTACTATATCGTAGGAAAAATTTGGGAGGCCTGGGATCAACGCCTGAGGCTGTGGCCTTGGCTAAAAATTGTACATCTCGTCCCAAAATGACACATGGTGTCCGACGAAATTCACCGACAATTTTCAAACTATATGCCATTCGATAGAGCTCCATGAGTTGGTTCTGAAAAAATTTGGTTCAAATTTTTCTGACCATTTTGGGCAAAGTTATGGGACTCAAAAGGTCCAAAATGTCCAGAACCCCTAACGTGAAGGGTGGCTCCCATCGAATGTAATTATAAAATTGCTTAAGAGAGGGCAAATGGTTTCAACTCTTTTTTGGTATAATAGGGCACTAAATGTACTACAATTTTGTTGGGGGACACTTGAGTCTGGGATTTTTTCCTGACATAGTTATGGGCACCAAAGTGACCTCGCCAAAACCGACTTTTTAACGCGTGAATTGAAACTCGATTTGAGTATCCTATCTTGTAGAGCGTCCCTTGAAACCTCTAAAAATATACACTTTGTTTGGGGTACACTTGAGTCTGGGAAAGTTATACTCAAAAAAGTGGCATTTTTGGTGCCAAAAATGGCCGGTTTTTTGGTTATAACTTTTTTTAAAAAATTTTTAAAAATAAACGGGCTTTAGATTCGTGTTCAGCACATATTGGAGTACCATAAAACATATTTTTCTCGAGGTCGAATTTTTGGACCATTTTTGAAGGGGTACCCCTTTTGAAATTTTTTGGTGGAATTTAAATTGGGCACAACTTTGTAAGTTTTTGTCGTAGCCAAACGAATTAAAGGTCATAAAATAGAGCAAAAAATTACAAATTTTTTGAGCCATTTAAATTTTTGAAAAATTTCACCCGAGACCTGGTAGGGTCGATTTTTTGAAAATTCAAAATTTTTCGGTTTTTTGAAATTTTCTGGGGTATATCGAGGCTGAGGGTGGTTGAATATATTTTTATAAAATTGAGCAGAATTTTTGCTATATATTAAGCTTTTAAAATGTTTCAAAAGGTTTATATTTGGGGAGTTATGAATTTTTGAAAAATTGCGTCAATTTTTTGGTCGAAATTTTGGGCCAAAATTTTATTTTTTCCAAAATGACATAAAATAGGGCAAATGTTATATCAATCGAAAGCCCTTCTCGAGCTGAGTATAAATATATTATTTGTAAAATTTTCTGACCATTTTGTACAAAGTCACAAAATGTCGATTTTCGGGTGTGGGGGGGTTTGGGGGCGAAGGCCCCTAAACGGCGGGCCGGAGGCCCGCCGTGCGAGGGCCGAAGGCCCGAGCTTAAGACGCATCCCAAAACGAATTGCGAGGGCCGAAGGCCCGAGCTTAAGACCCATTCCAAAACGGATCGCGAGGGCCGAAGTCCCGAGCTTAAGATCCATCCCAAAATGAATCGCGAGGGCCGGAGGCCCGAGCTTAAGACCCATCCCGAAAGTAATCGCGAGGGCCGAAGGCCCGAGGAAACTTTTGGGTGTGCGTGGTTTTGGGGCCGAAGGCCCCCAAACGGCGGGCCGGAGGCCCGCCGTGCGAGGGCCGAAGGCCCGAGCTTAAGATCCATCCCAAAACGAATCGCGAGGGCCGAAGGCCCGAGCTTAAGACCCATCCCAAAATGAATCGCGAGGGCCGAAGGCCCGAAGCGATGAAAAGGCAGGGCTAAACTTTACGGCGAGGGCCGAAGGCCCGAGCTTAAGACCCATCCCAAAACGAATTGCGAGGGCCGAAGGCCCGAGCTTAAGACCCATCCCAAAACGAATCGCGAGGGCCGAAGGCCCGAGCTTAAGACCCATCCCAAAACGAATATCGAGTGCCGAAGGCCCGAGCTTAGGATCCATCCTAAAACGAATCGCGAGGGCCGAAGGCCCGAGCTTAAGACCCATCCCAAAACGAATCGCGAGGGCCGAAGGCCCGAGCTTAAGACCCATCCCAAAATGGATCGCGAGGGCCGAAGGCCCGGAGCAATTAAAAGGCAGGGCATAACTTTACCGGCGAGGGCCTAAGGCCCGAAGCGATGAAAAGGCAGGGCTAAACTTTACCGGCGAGGGCCGAAGGCCCGGAGCAATGAAAAGGCAGAGCAAATGTTACCGTTTCTAGCAGCGCGCGAAGCGCGCCCCAAAGCCGTTAGGCTTTCCAACGGGCAAAAGTATCGTAACCAAAGGCTCCGCCTATTAAATTCCAGTGCATACGTAACTTACCGCCATACCCCAATGGGCACAACTAGTTTATATATACTTATAATTACATCGATTTTCGCTTTTAAAAACTAAATTGAGTCGAACGAGCAGCGGGACGCCCTGGAAAGTTGTGGGTCTTGGGGGGTACTTTTTAAGGCGCATTCAGGAAAAATACGCTCGCGGCGCCACGACTTTCCCTTTGCGCCGAAACGACCCCATGACTTTCGCTATCTCGTGAACTAAAAGT